TGAGATGAGAAGGCAGAGAGGGTCAGGAGCTGGTTGAATGGACACAGGAAATCAGGGGTGGAAAGGAAGAGTGTGCTGTCACAGTATAGGGAGAGCAATTACAGTCACACAACAATGTATGTATAAATTTTTGTATGACAGACTAATTTGAATTGTAAACTTTCACTTAAAGTACAACAATAAAATTAAATTTAAAAAAAGAACCCCTGAAGTTAGAAGGGGAAATGTTATTATCTGTAATGTTTTTTAAAATGGGGGAAAATGAAGGCCCAGAGAGATGGGTTGTTTGCTGGAGAACACAAGGAAGCATGGAGGAGATGCGCAGCTCGCACCTCAGCCTCCCTGCGTATCCTTCTCCATCCTCTGTGCCCCACCATAGCAGCCTGGCCCTCCTGGAGCCCCGGGGCTGGGGTGGGAGTTGTCCATTCAGTGATGTTGCCTGTATGCAGCCATTTCTCCTTCTCCCTTCCCTTGGCTCTTCTCACTTCCCAACAGGGAACCCCAGTATTCCTAAACCTCGGCGAATCCTGCGCTCGGCTTGGGGGAGCAACCCTCACTTCCGAGGCTCCTATTCATACACGCAGGTGGGCTCGAGTGGGGCAGACGTGGAGAAGCTGGCCAAGCCCCTGCCGTACACGGAGAGCTCCAAGGCGGCGGTGAGTGTGTGTTTGGTGTGTGTGGGTGTGCAAGGTGAGTACGAGTGTGTAAGGGGATTGGCATGGGTATCTCATGGGGTGTTTGGTGAAGGGTGAGGAAGGGTAGGGAGGATAGTGTTCACAAAGGGGTGGTAAAGGGAGATGAAAGAGAAAACAAGATGTGCACTTAATATCTGGAAGAAAAGATGGAATCAAATTGACACTTTAACCTCTTGAAGTTATGAAAACGGAATCATTCGATGCTGCGTTGTCTAAGATGGTAGTCATTAGCCACATTTATTTTAAATTAATTTAATTTGTGAAAATTTAACCGGTAAGTTAAAAATTTAGTTCCTTTCTTGCACTAGCCACATTTCAAGTTCAATAGCCACATGTGTCAAGTGGCTACCATATTAGAGTGTATAGCTATAGAACATTTTCATCATCGTAGAAAGTTCTATTGGACAGCACTGACTCAATGGAAGTAAGTTTCTCAATAGGTTTTAGAAAATAAAATTGAGAATACTGACCCTCCCCCAAATTATAACAACTATA